GAAAGATTCACCTCTTTAAATCTCTTAAACCACTATACAAAAAACTTTGGGTAAATCATAGAATCTTTCCTGTCTATCTACATTCAGGTAGCAAATTCTTTTTTTTATAAACTATATATACCTAAGGTGTGAATCATTAACTCAAATGGCATACAAGAATGAGAAAAGGATGAAGTGTGGTAGCAAGTTCCCAGTCACTTTGAGGGCCTACTCACATCTTCCACCCATAATTTTAGCTCATCGTTTCTTCTTTCCTGGACCTAGAACATGATGTTAGCACCTAAGACTAGACTGTACCACCATCAAACCCTCTCCAACTATAAATAGACAATCAAACTTACAATACATGTGACAATAACTCATATCTGAGACTGAATAGTACAATATAATTGCATGATTGCTTTTATGCTTGATTACACTTCAATCCATATTAGGTGCTTAGTTGCTGTTCGTAACATGCCATTTCGTTATCCAGAAACCTGTCCACAATTATTTTGACCTGCAAAGCTTCCATTCTCATTCCTCACCAAATACTTCTTATTTCTGCTTGGACAGTCTGCAATGAGCAAATAACCAATGTAGCTGATAGGACAGCAGTATGAAAACTCTAGAATTCTCGTTAAGCAAGTTAGATCACTTCATGTCTCGAACAACAGCCCTAGACTGTTTAGATCGAATCCATGAGCAACCTTAACATCAAATGATGGTGTCAAATATGCGAAATAAATTTAATTTGACAGCACAGATGTAAACGAAATGCAGTATATTTTAACTTTAAGTGTATGATTTATATGGAGATTTTAAACTTAATAGGTGCTTGAATAACTTGTTACAGCAACTGTACTGATAAATTATCAGTGCTTTGTAGCTGACACTCAGAGCTAGAGAAGTAAAGAAACCTATGCACCATATGCAAGTTTCACACAATCACAGATTCACAATGCAAAGAACTTGAAGCACAGAAACTGAAGACCTATCAACATTTGCAAACTATACAACAAGATCCCTCAGCTTCACAGATTTAACTAAAATCCAAAATGGTGCCATATTTTCTCAACAGAAGAGACAGAAAATGCTTACAATGGGTAAATGGATTGAATTTGAACATCTGCAGGAAAAAGCTTGCACTCCTCGGAGAAAACCTGCGCTTGTCTCTCTGCTATGGAATCCAACAATTGTACATCCTTTGCCAGCTGTTCATCGACGCTGCACTTACATCAGATATAAAATTAATGGATCTTATATTGCAAAATTGAGAAAACATATCAAGTAAACGTGTGATATACTATGAATAGTGCAACGATTAGGGAATGTCGAACTACGAAAACTCGCCTAACCTCCATTCCGGATAGTCAGAATAGCAACTTGCTTCCACGAGATCTACAATAAGATGAAGCATCTCAACACGCTCTTCGTAGCTGCCCCTTCCCTGGGATCAGTGGGCATTTAACATTTCAGGTTGGAGGAAGGAAATCTCAGTTCAAGAGCTGGACGAAGTTGAAAGTGCAATTCACATATGAGAGGATGTGTCTACAATTCCTTATTTCAAAATACATTAGCTGCTCCACTATTGAAACAGAAAGCTAGGGATCCTTGCATATGACATTGGAACTCTTCAGGTGTATCCCGTAGTGAAAAATGTTTTGATTTCAACTTTGTAAATCTATATGAAAGTTTTTGCTCCTTAAATTACTTTTTGGATTTCTTATGTGAAGAAAAGGCTTATCATTTGTTACACATCTTGATCTCTACCCAATGTTATGATGCCAATCAACGATCCCGATCCCGTAAATCTTGGTGGTTGATTGGTGGTATGAACTAATATCAAATAGTATATATTGCCTCCCATGGTATAACAGGAAAACAAAAACTCAAAGATCTAGCAGTCCTCATTTACAAAATTGGTAATTCAAAGTTTTAAACTTCAAACATAGAAAATGAAAAGCCAGACATCACAAACTTCATGTCTCTATAATATACTGGCATATTTGATTTACTCAAAGTCAATATCTCACCTGGATTGCTTCTGTATCAACTGAAGATGTAATACCCAAGAAGCTTGCTATCTCAGCCAGATCTGTGAAACTACAAAACATTTTGTCATTCACAATATTTGAATATAATATATCTTCTCTTATACAAAACAAATAAGAAAGAAACATAATTTTTGGAGAAGATTCTCATGTTCTCAACAAAGTTCATATTAATCCTAAGGTTACACAAGAGGAAAAGAATGTCACACGAAATGGTGGAAGATACATTTGTTATTGCATGGTTGTAACTTGTAAGCAACCAGGCATTTTGGCCCCAAGGGTCAAAGGGAAAAATATAATGCTGACATTAGTTTCAAATAATACAAAAAATTTGAGACAGTGCTAAAAAAATGGTTTCACGCTCCAGCTACTTCGGTTTCCAATTCAGTGTTTCTTCCAGAACTATCAATAATAAGTAATGTTTGTAGGAAAAAGTCGATGAAACAAACTGCAGAGTGGCTGATTACCTTTCCCTTAAAAACAAGTAATTTGACATGCTATATGAAGGACTTGGTCAAATTTCATTGTAATGGAAGTTTCAACAATTAACTGCCAAGTCATGCCAATAAGATATACTAGTAAAATGACACTTGAGGAATGTTTTTCCATTTGGTGACAGGTGAAACTTGCTGTGGCATATTTGCCTCCATGTTCTGGCATCTTTGGTCTCCTTTTCCATGGAGAAATTTGGGTAGCAAGAGTTTAAACTGTAATGGGTATTCCAACCAAATAACTGCCACACGAGGTTTCCTGACAAGCATCTCTTTTCTCATAATTCCCTTATAGGAGCTTGTTACCAAATTATTGTGGATAGAAAGTTTACATTAGTTCATAAAGTTTAGTACAAAAACTTCCACGGGACCTTCACGGTATGGGATTATGTTAGCTCCATGTTTGATGATGAATTTTGCTGCTAAGCATGATATACATATAATGTCAAGGGTGACCAATTACCTCAGTACAGCATGTACCATTATACGTGGGTAGTACTGTAGTACGGGTTAGGAGGTGGATAAGTGATAAGGCTTGAGTTTTATTGAAACCCTCAAAATATAACATAGCAAACTAATAACTAAGTATCTAACCAATAAAATAATAGTATCGGGAACTCCATTACAGATGGAAAAAGTTGTTCTTCTCTATGAGGTGCGATATGTTGCTTGAATGAAAAAACGAAGATCGTACTAGGAAAATTGTCATCTACTTATCATTGCGCTACGTCAACTAGGTTTACTTCCAGAATGCTTATTACTTTATTTATCTCAAAGCTCAAGAACTAGAAAAACCCATTATATTGGCGCACTTACCCATATGCAAAATAAAATTACATGTCAACCACTCTCACCTCATTCTATATTCTAATGCATGTACAATTTATCAACCAGCAGTATCTCTAACAGCAACATAATAATCGCTAATTGGGAACAGAATTACTTCTTTTTCCAAAAAAAGTTTCGTATCCGGTTAATTTACTCATACAATCAGAAACAATAATTTAAAAAAAGGGAAGATTACGTTGGATTCTAGCCGTCTCCTCATCGCGATCCATGTTATCCCCTTGCCAATTCTGCTGCGTGAACGGCGATCTGTCTCCTAAAAGCCTGTCAAAAAAAAGGAGAAGAACAGCACTAGGGTTTTGAGAGGGATGAGATGAAATTTTCATCTTGAAGCTAGAAATTAGGGTTTTGCAGAAAATGAACTGAGGATATCGAGATTGTGGACCTGAAGAAGAGCCATTCGAGGAGGGCGTAGCGCTCGGCGCCGGCGAAGAGGAGAGATTGGGCGGGGGCGTTGGATCGGGGGTAATTGAGAACCGACAGCTTCTTCTGAATCTCCTCCATTTGCTTTGACGCCATTGTTGATCTCTTTCGAGGATCTAGGGCTCCGGCGATTTTTTTCCTTTTTTTTTTTCACTTAAATTTGATCTCTGGTGGTCTCAGCAGGCCGAGACTGGAGACGGCAAGGTACGTTTTAAACGGATTATTTCCAGCTAAGTACCTGGAAATTTACCCCTTTTTAATTTTGATACCCTTTTCCCCCCTCTCTCGAGCTCAACAAAATTTAACTGTAGTCAACCTTTTGAACCATCTTTTTGGTGTTATACCCTCACTTGTACATATTTATTGTAAACCCAAAAACATTTATAAATGGGCAAAATTAGAAAACCAAAAAATAATAATTACATTGCCCACATCTTCCCTTTACTTGCCACTTACACATGTTTTAAATCCTCCACCAGCATTTTATAGTTAACCCCATTTTAAATCTAAAGAAAAAAAATCAAAACATGTGCCAAATATTATACATCCAAATTTTAATAATTTTATAACTCACTAAAGAGAGAAATTTGTGAGGAATGTTGGATTTAATCTAATAAATCTATTTGTGGGCACATATGATTAATCAATGTGTATTGCTATCTTTCAGGATAACCCACTAAAGTGATCAATTAAGTTGGGTTAATTTGGTATTTAAATAAGTCATGGGGTTATATGTGCAGATACCAGGTTGTAATTGTAATTTATTGAGGGGCTAAATTACAAAAGTACAACATCTATAAATAAGGGGTTATGGTCCCTAACCTAGGGTTACACTCTGTAATTCTCTACACCCCCATCTAGCTAGAGAAATTCGGATTTAGAGAAACCCTAAGGTTAGAAGATCATCAAAAACCCAAATCAAGATTTCATCCATGGATTCAGGTATAAGCTTCCGCTCTTTTGATTTTTTGTTAATCTCTTTGAATTAATCATGGCTATATGGTTTTAGATCTCAAGTTTTATGATGTAGATCTAACAAGTGGTATCAGAGCCACCTTGATTAATTCTTAGGGATTTAAGTTTTATTGGGTTTTTTGATCTTAAATCTCTGGTTAAAGATTCGATTTTTTGGGTTCGGATGAACAGTAACGAAAATTTTCGGATGAACTGTAAGTTTTTTGTTCGGATGAACAGTACAGTTTTTTGGATGAACAGTAACTAAAAAATCGCCGGTGAACATTAGCTTTTTAGAATTTTTTGGATTTTTCTTTGATTTTTTCTTTGATTTTTTCCAATTCTGGATCTGTTTTGAAAATAAAAATCAAAGTTTTTTGGGTTGTCGGCGGCGGTTTCAGTTTGAAACCCTAAGGGTTCATGGCGAAAATTAAGGAGGTGGTTACCTCAAACGAACCTCGCGTTTGTTCAATTTTAACCGAGCTTCGCGCTCAACGAACCTCGCGTTCGTTCTAAGGTGAACCTCGCGTTCAACTCAGGTGAGCGTCAAGCTCAATTTTAACGAACCTCGCGTTCGTTCTAAGGTGAACCTCGCGTTCAACTCAGGTGAGCGTCAAGCTCAATTTTAACGAACCTCGCGTTCGTTCTAAGGTGAACCTCGCGTTCAACTCAGGTGAGCGTCAAGCTCAATTTTAACGAACCTCGCGTTCGTTCTAAGGTGAACCTCGCGTTCAACTCAGGTGAGCGTCAAGCTCAATTTTAACGAACCTCGCGTTCGTTCTAAGGTGAACCTCGCGTTCAACTCAGGTGAGCGTCAAGCTCAATTTTAACGAACCTCGCGTTCGTTCTAAGGTGAACCTCGCGTTCAACTCAGGTGAGCGTCAAGCTCAATTTTAACGAACCTCGCGTTCGTTCTAAGGTGAACCTCGCGTTCAACTCAGGTGAGCGTCAAGCTCAATTTTAACGAACCTCGCGTTCGTTCTAAGGTGAACCTCGCGTTCAACTCAGGTGAGCGTCAAGCTCAATTTTAACGAACCTCGCGTTCGTTCTAAGGTGAACATCGCGTTCAACTTCAGTCGAACCTCGCGTTCATTTTTTAAACGAACCTCACGTTCGTTCCCAAGTTGAACCTCGCGTTCTTTTATCAAACGAACATCGCGTTCGTTCATTTTCAGACGAACCTCGCGTTCGTGCTTAAGTGAGTCTCGTACTCAATAAAGTCGAACCTCGCGTTCGAAGTTAAGGGAACTTCGTGTTCATTATGGTTAAGCCTCGGCTTTTCATGGGTCCACTTTGGTATACTTAATTTATTCAATTAAGTTATGGGCCCTAATTAAGCTGTGAGACCCCAATTAAGTTTGGTTTTTAATCAATTATTTAATTCAAATATTATGACACTAAGGTATTAAGGTTGTCTCTCACTCCAATTGATTAATTGAAACAAGAAGTTGCCAAAGTAACCTCTCTTGTGTAGATTGTTCATGAGGAATGTGAGATGTTTGTGTGTATGCTTTCGTGTAAATATTTAATCGGCCCAAAGGAAGGTTAATATTTATTTAGACTGTATACACATCTGCGATGATAAGCGTGTGACAATTATAAGGTTTACATGTGAATAATGAATCGATCCAAAGATAGTTTCATTATTTGACATGAGTTATTGTCAATGTTTGATCATTGCAACAAGGTATCACTTACAAGTTAATATTACTGTCCAAAGACTTGATATTAATGTTGTGCCGGTATCTTGGATGGGGATTGTCATTATTTGAATTTTATTGATTATGGTTATTGATGTGAGCATTCTTTTGTTTTATTTCAGCTAATGCATCTGCTGCAACAATTTCTGCTAACATCAACTCAATTCCCATGCTAAATGGGACAAACTTCAAGGTTTGGAAAGAGAACATATTAATTGTTCTTGGCTGCATGGATCTTGACTATGCATTAAGAACTGAACAACCCCAACCTCTCAATGCGGATAGCACTCCTGATGCAAAGAAGGAGCATGAGAAGTGGGAGCGTTCAAATCGCATGAGTCTTATGATCATTAAGCGCGGCGTTCCGGAAGCCTTCAGGGGCATAGAATCCGAAGGGATTACTAAGGCTAAAGATTTCCTTGCCGAAATTGAGAAGCGTTTTGCGAAAAACGATAAGGTAGAAACAAGCACGCTTTTAGCTCGCTTGATTTCAATGAAGTATAAGGGCAAAGGAAATATCAGGGAGTACATTATGGAAATGTCTCATATTGCTTCAAAGCTTAAGGCACTTAAACTCGATCTTTGTGACGAGTTATTAGTGCATCTGGTTTTGTTGTCTCTTCCTGCACAGTTTAACCAATTTAAGGTCAGTTATAACTGTCAAAAGGAGAAATGGACTCTAAATGAGCTCATTTCATACTGTGTGCAAGAAGAAGACAGGTTGAAGCAAGATAAGACAGAAAGTGCTCATTTGGCCTATGCCTCTAAGGATAAGGGCAAGAAAAGGAAGAATGATAAGGAAGCTGCTAAGGGTCCAGTTGAGAAGAAACAACATAAGGATAATCAGGGTTGTTTCTTCTGTAAGAAGCCTGGACATGTAAAGAAGGACTGTACAAAATATCACGCCTGGCGTGATAATAAGGGTACGTTCCTTGCTTTGGTCTGTTCTGAGGTTAATTTAGCTTCAGTACCTAGAAACACTTGGTGGTTAGACTCTGGTGCTACTACTCACATAAGTGTTTCTATGCAGGGTTGCCTGAGCTACCGAAAGCCAAGTGATGTTGAAAGACACATCTTTGTGGGCGACGGACAATCGGTAGATGTGGAAGCAATTGGGCACTTTAGGTTGTTGTTAGGAACTGGTTATTATTTGGATTTAAAAGATACTTTTGTAGTACCGTCTTTTAGACGGAATTTGGTTTCTGTTTCTGTATTGGACAAATCAGGTTATTCTTGTTCATTTGGAAACAGTCAATTCAGTTTATCTTTTAATTCAAATGTTGTGGGAACCGGTTACTTGAGTATTTATGACAACCTATATTTGCTTGATACAATTGCTTCTTACAATGAATCCTTGCATGTGGAATCACGTGGTACTAAGCGTAAATTAAATAAGGAAAATTCGGCGACATTATGGCATAAGCGCTTAGGTCATATCTCAAAAGGTAGAATTGAGCGTCTTGTGTCTGATGGCATTTTGGATTCCCTTGATTTTTCGGACTTCGACGTATGTGTTGAATGTATCAAGGGAAAACAGACCAAAGTGAAAAGATTAGGTGCCAACAGATCTTCGGATGTCTTAGAATTGATACATACGGATATTTGTGGGCCATTCCCTACGGAATCCTGGAATGGTCAACAATATTTTATATCATTCATAGACGATTACTCACGTTATGGGCACCTATATCTTATTCATGAAAAATCTGAGTCTCTGGACATGTTCAAAGCCTATAAAGCTGAAGTTGAGAATCAACTCAACAGAAGAATTAAAACCGTCAGATCTGATCGTGGTGGTGAGTACTACGGTAGATATGATGGTTCAGGTGAACAACGTCCAGGACCATTTGCTAGATACCTAGAGGAATACGGTATCGTCCCACAGTACACCATGCCGGGTTCACCTAGCATGAATGGTGTAGCTGAAAGACGAAACAGGACTCTTAAGGATATGGTAAGAAGTATGATTGCTCATTCTTCTTTACCAGAGTCACTCTGGGGAGAAGCACTTAAGACAGCAGCTTACATTCTGAATAGAGTACCAAGTAAAGCAGTTGCTAAAACACCTTATGAGCTTTGGACTGGTCGAAAGCCCAGTTTAAAGCATTTACATATTTGGGGATGTCCAGCTGAGGCAAGGCCTTATAGGCCAAATGAAAAGAAATTGGACTCCAAAACAGTTAGCAGCTACTTTATTGGATACTCTGAACGCTCTAGGGGCTTTAAGTTTTATGATCCCACTATAAGGAACATTTTTGAGACGGGAACAGCAACATTCTTTGAGGATGTTGAGTTTGGGGGGAGAAATAAGGTTAGAGACATTAGTTTTGAGGAGGAATTGGCTTCAGATCCAATCCATACAGTTACTTTTGACAATATTCAGGTTCCTATACCTGTTGTTGCTCAAGAAGTAAATCCGGAACCTCAAGATGATAATGTTGAACAACTCCCTGTTCCAGAAGAACAAACTCAACAACCTCAAGAACCAGTGCCATTAAGGAGATCCACGAGAGAAAGGAGAAATGCT